GAGGGAGGCGTTTGGGATGCTGAGAAGTTGCTGCCCGAAACGCGCGGGTGGTGCTGCCCCGGGGGGTTCGCTGAGCGTGGGTTGGAGTTTCCCCACGTGGGAGCTGTGAGGGGTTAGGGCCGCGGGGGGAGAGGGCACGGAGAGGTGCGAGGTCGCGTTTGAGCCGTGCTCGGGTCCTTTGCAGCGTCGCTGCGATGGCTCCCGCGAAGAAGGGCGGCGAGAAGAAGAAGGGACGCTCTGCCATCAACGAGGTGGTGACTCGGGAGTACACCATCAACATCCACAAGAGGATCCATGGCGTGTGAGTCCTGCTGTTTGTCAGCGGAATGTGCCTTAAGGGAATTGGCGTTGGGAAGTGGATTTGGTCGGTTTTAAAGGGCAGGGAACGACTGGTCCTTATTGCATGGTGTTTGTGGTCCCTCGTGTCTCGGTTGTGGCTCGAGGAAGCACCTCTGTCCCTGTGCAGTCTGACACTTGGTATGTGGCTTTCAGGAACAAGTGTGTGCCTCTGGTGGTGAGTGTCCTGGGATCTGAAGGGGGCTGGGGGGATACAAACTTTCCCGGAGGGGATCAAATAGAGGAGAGATTTACAGATCACAAACGCTGGTTGCACAATGTAAATCCAGTATTAAAAGATCCTCTGATACCAGAGGAATCTCAGCCTACTAATATCACAGGAAGTTGATGTCAATGAATGCTGAGCACTTGCAAAGGTGGAATGTGCTCTGTTGTACTGGTTCTGACAGTCACCCATTTATACAAGGGCATAAAATAGAGAGAACCTGTCTGTCCTCTCTAAGGTCCATTTCAACTCCTGAAATTCTATGATGCTATGATTTAATTGGTACTTGGATGTGTTCACTTCTATGCACAGGTTGTCATTGTTTTCCAAGCAAATGTTTATCCCCCTGAGCGATTTTTAGAAGTTAAACCTTGTTGTAATCTAATGGTTGGCTTTATGCTTATCATGGAATTGTGTGTGGTGTGGGCTGAGGTGTGATTGGAGTTAGAGGATATGTGTTGTGTGTGGATGAGAGGAGCTTCTTACCTGGCAAAGTGTGGAAGAAACTACCTGAATCAAAACAATGGGTAAAATGGCTGAAGTTAACTTTGGATAGGAGAGAAATGAGGCAGTGGGATATTGCAGAACCATGGGTGATGTTGGGAGGCAGTGGTACCTGCAAATGGCAGTAAGATTGTTTGGTTTTTTTGTAGAATCATAGAACTTTAGGGGTTGGAATGGACCTTACAGATCATCTAGTCCCAATCTCTTGCCCTGGGCAGGGACATCTCCCACCAGAGCAGGTTGCTCAAGGCTCATCCAACCTGGCTGTGAACACTGCCAGGGTTGGGGCATCTAATACCTCCCTGAGCAACCTGGGACAGTGTCTCACCACCCTCAAAGGGAAAAACGTTTTTCTCACATCCAACCTAGACTTTCCCTCCTTCGATTTGTACCCATTGCCCCTCGTCCTGTCACTGCAGCTCCTAACACAGAGTCCCTCTCTGGATTCCCTGTAGCCCCTTCAGATACTGATAAGCTGCTGTGAGGTCTCCACACCTTCTATTCTCACACAATCAGCATTTTAATGTGCTGTGCACTTCTCTTTTGGGGTTATCCTTTTGTCTGTTGGGGCATGAAGTGCTAGGGCTGCAATGCTTTATGTTTAATGCTCATCTCAATTGTAATCACACACCTACTACCCATTACTAGCTCTAAATACCAACAGCAGTGTGCAAATAACAGTATGCACAACCCACTGTGGGGCCTCAGGCACCACTGACACAGTCTGTGCCAAAGTTTGGGTATGATGCATGTGGCAAAACACAGTGCAGCTGTGACTTGTGCCATGAATATCCAGTCCTGCACGGTCTGTCCATAATGGGCATGAGACAAGCTATACTGGTGAAAAAAAACTGGTGCAGTCCTGCAGCATAAAAAAAGTAACCATCAAGTATTGTACAGCAGATGTTACTCAGAATAACATCAATTTTGTGCTTCTGCTGTTTATTTCAATACTGATACAGTTCTGACAAGTTTCTGTTGTTGCCCTGCTTTTCCCATAGGCCCTTATTCAGAGTGTCTGTGAAACCTCTGATCTTCTCAGGAATGGTACAGGATCACAGAATAATTAGAGTTGGGGGGGACCCATGAGAATTACCCAGTTCAGCTCCTGACATCCCCAAGAATCACACCCTGTGCCCAAGAGCATTGTCCAAATGCTTCTGGAACTCTGTCAGGCTTGGGGCTGTGACCACTTTCCTGGGGGAATGTATGTGATATTGAAACATGTTGACATTAAAACTCAAGATCCAGGAGATCTCATGGTTGCAGAATTTTATTGAAATTGTCCTTCCCTTGGTGTATGTGGTTTTTGTCAGGCACAGACTCTCAGGTTAGCAGAGACTGGATGTGGCACTCAGTGCCATGGTCTAGTAACCACAGCAGGGTTGGACTCGGTGATCTTTGAGGTCTCTTCCAACCTGGTTGATTCTATGATTCTAACGACCAGAGTGAAGGTCTGGTCATGCTGCAGTGCAGCTCTTTGTCTTCTGTGTTTAGAGAATGTCAGTGGTTGAGTGCTGCAGCAGTGTTCTGTGCTGACAGTGTCCTGAGGTTAAGGAAACTCTTCTTGTGTTTGTCTCAGGGGCTTCAAGAAACGAGCACCTCGTGCCCTCAAGGAGATCCGGAAGTTCGCCATGAAGGAGATGGGAACGCCTGACGTTCGCATTGACACCAGGCTGAACAAAGCAGTCTGGGCTAAAGGAATAAGGTGAGTGTCTGCAGCTTTCCTTAGTGGATGAGAGAGGACTTGATGGGATGGGTAGGAAAGCTCTACAGACTTGATCACTGGGCTGAGGACAACGGCATGAGGTTCAATAAGGCAAAGTGCTGGTCCTGCACTTGGAGCATAACAACCCCATGCAGCACTACAGGCTGGGGGAGGAGTGGCTTAAGTGTTGTTCATCAGAAAGGGACTTGAGAGTGCTGATGGACAGTGGCTCAATGAGAGCCAACAGTGTGCACAGGTGGCCAAGAAGGCCAAGGGCATCTTGGCCTGGATCAAGAATAGTGTGACCAGCAGGACTACGGCAGTGCTCATCCCCCTGGAGTGGGCACTGGGGAGGTCACACTTCAGTACTGTGCTCAGTTTTGGGCCCCTCACTGCAAAAAGGACATTGAGGCACTGGAGTGAGTCCAGCCAAGGGCAACGAGGGCAGCAAAGGGCTGGAAAACATGTGGGATGAGGAAGGGGTGAGGGAATTGGGTTTGTTCAGCCTTGAGAAGAGGCTCAGGGGTGACCTCCTGGCTCTCTGCAACTCCCTGCCAGGGTTGGAGAGAGGTGGGGGATGTGTGTCCTGCCAGGGCTGCAGGGAGAGGACTAGAGGGAATGGTCATGAGCTGAGATAGGGGAGAGTCGGATTGGATGTCAGGAGAAATGTTTTCCCTGTGAGGGTGTTCAGGCACTGGGATAGATTGCCCAGGGAGGTGGTGGAGTCACCATCCCTGGGAGTGTTGAAGAGACATCTGGATCTGGCACTGGAGGATCTGGTTTAGGGGTTCCAGCAGTGGCAGGTTAATGGTTGGACTTGATGCTCTTAGAGGTCTCCTCCAACCTTCTCAATTCTATAAAACAATTGTATAGTTTTTGTGGTATTTTTATTTTCTTTGCAAATGCTTCCTTTCTTACAGTGTACATGGTAAGCTTTCTGTCACCTCTGTGTTTTGGTCAGTTCTCCCAGTGTATTTGTAGCAAACCTTTAGTAAACTCTGGGTTTGAAAGGGCTTCATTTTACCTCTAACAAGAATAAAGCAAAGGAAAAAAGGAATGTGGATTTGAGGGTGGAGGGCAGGCAAGAGAAAGGGTTTGGGGTATTCTAATGCCGTAGTACTCCAATCCCTATTGCAGCAGACAGTTTTTAGGGCCTTGTAGTGATACCCACAGCCCCAGGCTAGGTGTCTGGGATTTGTGTAGTGTGTCTGCATGCCAGATGCTACACCTGTAGATGCTACACCTGGACACAAGGAGGTGTGTTTTAAATAGGGACATTAATCTTTACTTGGAAGTACAAACAATTAAGTAGTTTGGGGGCTAACTACAACTTCTGTGAAATCACTGCTGCAGAGGCAGCTGATTTGGCATTGGACATGGTAAAGGTGGTCCAGAAGAACTCCTGTGAGGAGTGGTACCTCTTAAACTAGCAAAAGGTGGATAGGGATGGATGCTTTGAGTCATGCACTGGGTACAGATGGCTCTAAACCATGTTTTCTGAGAATTAGGTTCCCAAGTCTAGACTATGATATATTTACAATCCTTTCCCTGGAGTTGTGTAGCAAACCCTTCAAAAGCAGAGTGGGTGATGGGAATCAGTTACTGGTTCTTATGGGCAGGGGTTCTCTGTCCTTCCTGGTGAAGTGTCCTGTTCCATGCAGTGAAAAGCAGCAGTGGAACTAGGAGATAGCATAACTTCAGGGCTTAGTGCTGAGGCTGTTAACCAAGACTGCCTTATATTAATGGTAGGAGTGAGGCCTGTGGAGCAAGGAGTCACCACACCTGTCTTCCCTGTGGGAGTTTGACTGCAGATTTTGCTAGTTAGAATACCTACCAAGTGAAATATTTCCTCTGGAAGGATGAGGAGCAGCTAAATTCACTGTGTCAGCTAGTATGATAGTCATTGATCTACATAAAGTAGTGAAAAATGCTTTTGACTTGTGTCAGGAAAAGAGTAAAGCAAAGCAAGTTCCTGTGTCTTAATTACTGTGTCCATCTGATTTAGTAAGTATGTTCTCAAGAAGGTACAGCAAGGAGAAAGTTCCTTGGCATTGTGTGGAACAAAGTGCTCTGAGCAGGAGTTTCCCAAAATCTTGAGTTCATTTGAAGAAGGTTACTTGAAAAATGATGTGGAGAAAAAAATTGTGCCTTCCCTCAGCAGCATATTTTGGGCATTATTAGGGGAGGACATTAAGCTGTGACTTTCCTGTTACAAACAAAATCATCTAACCAATTCAGTTGTGATTTCATGGGCTTTGTGAGGAAGAAACATTGATCAGTAGATTTTTCCATAAGGAAGATCTTGGTTCAGGTCTGATGCTCACTAGAACTTCCACGTGACTTCTGGCATACAGATTGGGGAAGGACTCTTGACTCTTCTCAGGGACCTTGGGCTTTCAGAGCAGATTGAAGTTTTTCCTCACTATTTACTCTTGTAGTAAGCAGTGCTTGTTAGTAACAGCTGCTTGCTGATAATGTTCACTTCATCATCACCTCCACAGTGTGTTGCCTGGATCAGTAGTGGACTGATGATGCACTCCTGACTTGATCCTCCTACTGGAATATGGATTAATCTTCTTCAAGGCTCAGTTAAATCTTACCTGCTCCATTTACCAAACTAAATAAAACCAAACGGCCCCCAAAAAAGCTCCTTTAAGGTATATGGTACAATCTCTTCAGCTACAGGATTTTGCTCTGGCTGTGATAGAAACAGAACAGTCTCATCACATCTTTGCACAAACAGGGAGTAGCAATCATAGAACAAAGACCTTTTCTGTGAATTCACAGGTGTCAGCAGTAGGACAAGAGGGCACAGACTCAAGCTCTGCCAGGGGAGGGTTAGGTTGGCTATTAGGAAGAGATTTTTTGCAGGGAGAGTGCTCAGGCATTGGAATGTGCTGCCCAGGGAGGTGGTGGATTCACCATCCCTGGAGGTTTTCAAGCTGAGACTGATGTGGCATTTAGTGCCATGGTCTGGTAACCACAGTAGGGTTGGACTCGATGATCTTGGAGGTCTCTTCCAGCCTGGTTGATTCTCTGATGATTCAATCCATGTACCTCTTACCTTCACTGTAGGAACGTTCCTTACCGGATCCGTGTGCGTCTGTCCAGAAAGCGCAACGAGGACGAGGACTCACCAAACAAGCTGTACACACTGGTCACCTACGTACCAGTCACGACCTTCAAAGGTAAGGAAGGTTGTGTGCCACCTCTCATCGTGTTTCTCTGAACAAGCAGCAAGACAGGACAGCTCCTCCTGCAGTACAAAATCCAGATGACAAGCATGGTGATGGGTCAGACTGCTGGGTTAAACAGCTCTGCTGTAGTGAACAACACTGCTAACTTGCCTGACCCACATAGCTCTGCTGTAGTGAACAACACTGCTAGCTTGCCTGACCCACATCTGATGGGGGTTGGTCTCTTCTCCCAGGCAACCAGCAGCAGCACAAGAGGGCACAGACTCAAGCTCTGCCAGGGGAGGGTTAGGTTGGATCTTAGGAAGAGATTTTTTCCAGACAGAGTGCTCAGGCATTGGAATGTGCTGCCCAGGGAGGTGGTGGATTCACCATCCCTGGAGGTTTTCAAGCTGAGACTGATGTGGCACTTAGTGCCATGGTCTAGTAACCACGGTAGGGTTGGACTCGATGATCTTTGAGGTCTCTTCCAACCCTGTTGATTCTATGATTTGGAGAAATCCTTGCCTATATGGTTTGCTCTTCCAGAAGTAGATGAGCTTTGTAGTAGATGTACTGAAGACTTCCATATACATAGAGGGAACTGTCCTAGTAACAAGTGATGTTACAATTTCCTGTTTTGCAGGTCTACAGACAGTCAATGTGGATGAAAATTAATCTGGTTTTACTTAAAATAAAAGGATAAAAAGAAAGTTTATTCCTGAGTTGTTTTTGTTGTCCAGTCTCTTCAAGCTCTCAGCTGTGAAGCACTGAGTTCAACAGGTACCAGTATCTTGCTTTCTTGTACATAATGGTGTAATGCTGTTAGAGATACTGTAGACTTCTGTACATGTGACTGGAGTAAGGAGGAGACAGGAATGTTCCTATGTGGGTGGCAAAGTCCTCGGGGTTTTTTATTCGTAGGACAATAAAGAGCTACTACACAGGTATTGTAAGTTAAGGCCATGTTTGTTTGAAAAACAAACGAAGAAAAACAGAACTGATAGCTCAGAATTTGATGTGTTGTTTGTGTGGATGAAGTAAACTCCCTGTATTTAG